AGGTATCAGGTGAGGGCCATGTAGACAGGATCAGGGTTGAGCTATAGATTAGCACTGATTAAGAAGTTTGGAGGGACCAGCAATTAGCGTAATGGCTATGTTGTTGGACTCCCATGTAGTCAACCCTGGTTCGAGTCCCGGACCTGGTGGCTTAAATTCATGCTGGGCGCATATACGTGCGTGTCCAAGATCCTGAGAGGAGAATGGAGAAGGGACTGTGGCATGGTCATCCCCCTTGGGGGTGATTTCTCGCTTTCTGTTCCTCTGTCTCTCTCTGCCTTTCCGGCGAGCACACATGCCCGATAGCAAAAAACAAACAAACAAAAAACAATAACAACAACAACAAAAAACTTTAAAAAAAGAAGTTTGGAATCTGCTATCTAGATGTGGAACCCTTCTACACTGTTCTCTGTCTTTGGTCAACTTATTTAACATCAACAGTCTATCTCCTCATCTGCATAATGTGGGAAATAGTATCTTTCAGGTGGTTATGCAGACTTAAGAGCTGTTACGTTCTACCCTTACTGCCTTCTCCCTCTTACCTTTAACTGACAAATCTGTAATTTGGTTTGGAAATAAATGTACACACTCATTGTGGAGTTACATGGAATTTTTAAGATCCACAGGGCCATGGTTGACCATGTGGGGACCTCCTGGGAATATTTTACATGTATATTCATATTATTTATCATTTATGATTAATAATATAATTTATATACTATAAAACTATATTTATATATATATAGAGAGAGATTTATGCATATGTGTGTACGGAGGGTGGGGGAGAGATTGTGCACAGATCAAGAAGGTGTTCAGAAGGCCATGAGCTCTCAGTTGGATCACCGCATCTCTGGGAGGAAGCAGCCAGGTTGAAGACAGAGAACATTCTAGAAGAAAGGATCACATGATCACAGGCACTGATATGGAAAAGCATGTTATAACCATGGAGTTGCAGACACGAGGAAGGTTCTTCACAGACATGGTTCTGATGGTTATGCAGATAGATCACAGTACGTGTGGGGGTGCACTGACTGCAGGCAGAGGGGTGAATTGGGAAGAGTCTAACAAGGGCGTGGACTCAGGCAGCTCCCCACACCATAGGACTTGCAAGAGTAATGCCAGACCCTTGGCTGGGTAAGAGACTGGTTGGCTCATCAGACTTAGGACCAAGGCCTCATTCATATTCCTGGGGCCAGAGAGGTGGGCCTGGGGTAGAATAAGGCAGGTCATTGCACTGGTCAGAGCTTACAGGAGGCCTACCACCAAGATGGACCTCACAGGGTCCTAAATAAAGGGAATATGTATAATGTTCTTGCCTCAGGACTGGATGGTTTTTGGGAGTAAGACAAAATATGTGGAACCAAACTATGCAGATGTCAGAAGAAAGGAAGACCCAAAAGGCTTGGAATGGTTTGATCTGAAAACAGTTTCTGATTGAGGAAAGTCAAGACAGAAAGGAGATAAGGTGCTAGGTGGAACTACAGCTCTAGGAAAAGCACCAATAATTCTTCCCAAATGATTGAGTCACTCAGACGACAGCCAGTTAGTCTATATTCTGGAAACAATAGTATGCATTTGGATATTTAGAAAAGTCTATAACAAGTTTAAGAGATCACAGTCCTTAGGACCAGCAGATGGCATAATGGTTATGCCACTGGACTCCCACATAGTCGACCGCTATTCGAGTTCCAGACCTGGCGTCTTAAAACTGGCCATGGGCACATACATGTGCGTGCTCAAAATCCCAAGAGGAGAATGGGGGAGAAGGACTGTGGTGTGGCCACCCTCCCTGGGGGGTGATTTCTTGCCTTCTATCTCTGTCTCTCTAGCAAGTAAACATGCCCTAGAGCAAAGATCTCTCTTAAAAAAAAGAAAATCACAATCCTTTTATTTCCACCACTTATAACCTTTAGCTGAATGTAGACACTGATCTGCTGTAACAACAAATATCTCTAGTCCCTCCCCCACCAAACCCCCATGCTCTCATTTACTGCTTGACGGATTGCTATAAAGTGGACTGCTAGATTTACATCCTAATAACTTATTTTCAATATATCCAACTGTTGATGTGGTCCCAGAAGCAAGATGTTAAGAATTAGATGGAACAATCTCCCATCATCAATAAAGGCAGAGGGAAAAAAATCTAATTCTATTTATTATTCATTTATACCTGTTATATAAAACTATAACTGGAAAACATAAGTTGATTTTATTTCATTTCCTGTATGAAAATCACCCACCACCTAGTCATTAAAAGTTATGAATCAACAACTGAATTATCACAGAATTCTCTTTTTAAAAAAATTGATATTCTATTTTTGTTCAAATCTTTCTTTGATGTGTTAACTAGGTTAGTCTATCACCCTTAATGAAGACGTGAATATCCAAAGGTGCATTTGTGAAGCTGAGCAAACAAGTAGATTATGACAAAAAGGAAAAGAAAAAGAAAAAGGAAAAGGAAAAGGAAAAAAGACCAGTGTAAATTATGTATTGGCTGTTCTCTAGTGAAATATCAGTAAATTTCTTGTATTATACATATCTGTATTCATACACTAGAGATTTCCAAAGTACAAAGTAATTAAGCTTGATGGAGGCTAATATTATAGATAGCAAGAGAAAATAATTAGGCAGTGTCATCTTCACTCAGCACTATATTTAATACATATGTAACACAGATTTATTGATCATGTATCACAGGCTGTGAGCTAGGGGTGCAGATCTATAAAGAGCCAAAAATTGTCATGGGATCAGTTTTCCTTCTCCTTTGGTTGCTTAATGATGTGTTTTATTCAAGATCCTTTGGACCTAAGAAAATAAATCAATTCAAATCCAATCCAACCCATTGAGGAAAGAGAAAAAACTTAAAAAGTTAAAACCTGTAAGGTAATCCATACAACACCTGAAATTCAGACAGTCCTAATGCAAACTAACCCGGCCTCCTTGACTTTCAGGCCATGTGGTCTCTGTGCTGGGCTACTGTCCATCACTGCAGAGTTAGCCACCATGGCCACCGCCCCCATAGTGCCCACATTTGGATGGCACAGACGTCGGGTCACGTATGTCACATCTTCAAGAGTCAGGGACCAATTTCTCACAGGTCATTGAGATATCTATTTCTGGTACAAACAGGAAGTGGGAAATGCGGCACAACTTACAACACGGTTCCGTAGACCTGCTCCTATCAGGGGCTGGGAGTGAGTGACACAAGGTGAATGCTATATTGTACGCAGGATTATCATACAGGAAGATCAGAGATGGCATGGAAAAGTGTAGACTAGCAGTGAAACAACAACTTCAGAGCAAAATAGATGTCAATTCAATGATGCCTGCAGACTTATAAAATCCGACAGGCTCAGCCTCCCAAGAGGTGTTCAGTTTTATCAGAAAGCTCTTGACCTACATATAACATTGTGTAGAAAACAAATACACACTTATAAATATTATTTTTCTCTCTATCTTAGACTCATCACTTTCAATCAGTCAACCTTATGAAAACAATTTTCAAGGAAACACAACTCAGTTTTCTTTTGCCTTATCCATCCTGCTTTGGTTAATTCGGACATTTAGACAGTGCCATGATGGGTTTACATCACAGGACGTGCTTCTTTGCAGCTACCTACACCCTGGACATTGGGCTGCAGAAACACATATGATTCCTCATGTCCTAAACAATGTTTTGTAGCAGAAGGTGACATAGTTCCACCTTGTTCACAGTCACACCGTAGCGTGCAATGGTTTCCATTAAAAGGAAAAAAAAATGATTATCACCGCTCAACAAAGAAAGGAACAATATTAAAAGGCAGGGGTCTCCAACAGGAAACATTCTAACTACAAATTTACTCCTACAATGATAAACTATGCCAGGTCCAAGGCTGTAAAGATATTTTAATTCTTTCATGGCAGTAGCAACTAAGAGTCCCAGAAACTCGTGCTCCAGAGTGGAGCTGCTGCGGACCCCAAGACCAACTTCCACCTAGGAGAGGCTGTAAGGTTGGTGCTCACCAGAGGGGAGAGGGCAGTGAGGCTACTGACACTGCTCTTGGGATGCAGCCCTAAGGGAGGGCAGGTAAAAGGAGCAGATCCTGATCACTGGAGGACAGGAGGCCACCTGCTGCCCAGCACGGACTGCCTTAGTCAGTTGTGAAAGTGAGAAACAAACCCAGTATGCTAAGTCACGGAAATGTCAGCATTTTCCTCTTTTTGCTTTTCTCTTTTCCTTTTTTGCCACAGCAGCCATTGCTTCATTAACTAAGACAGTTTCCTAAAAATGCAGAGTGTCCAACACTCAAAGGTAAGGTGATAAAACAATGCATACATAAAAAATGAAACTGAAGCCTTATAGAACTTCATTTATGTTTCCTTCACTCGCACACTCACACCCTTTTCTTTTAAAATATGAAATTACGGTTCTTAGGAGGACAATTTATTTTATAGTCAAGTGACAGGAAAGTTGTTTTTTTACAAATGTTTCATAATCTCACGCCAAACCCTAACTAAAGAATCACCTCTATCTATGGATGAATAAATATTCTCACACACGGGAAACTGCAATGTATGTTGGTATCTGAAGGGCAATTAGAACCTGGCATTAGATATTAGCAAACAATGTGGCTTTCACCAGAATGCTTTCCCTCTCGTCCATTTCAGAAACCTGCAACTCTGGATCGTTTTTCATATAAAAAAATATAACCCAAACTGCAAGATGGTGATTTGGCATCTCCTGATTTCCAACAAGTGAACTGAATGTGAAGGCTCTTTCTGTGTAGAATTATGCATAATTTGTATGCAGGACAACATCAGTTCTGTGAAAAGAGTTTCAAGTACAAACCAGGCCATTTTGAACATCCTTGAACATCCTAAATCAGGTCAGTTAGCGTTTCTTCCCGGCAGCTGACCAAATGCCCAACTCCACTGCAGGCCTGAAAGGAGCAGACGCACCCCACACTTCTCTCCCAGCGACAATCAGAGCACAGGCAGGGACAAGGCACGGTGCGGGTTACCTGATGCTGCTCATGCTGCCGGTCTCGGACCCCAGCTTGCATCGCTCCAGCTGGCTAGCGACGATCTGCCGTTCGGCCTCCAGCTCCCGGGTCAGCCTTTCGAATTGTAATTCCTGAAAGAAACATGCCAAAAAGATCAATGCTGTCATCATTTGGAATTCAGACCAAAGGAAAGGATGGTTGGAGAAGGGGGAAATACGGTTTTACAAAATGTCAAATTAGAAAAACAGAGGATGTGGAATAAAACTAGGCAGTGAAGCTCAGACGGATTTGTGATCCACTGCTGTGGGGTCTTGAACAAGCTACTTCATCCCTTTAGTCTCCATTTCATCATCCGTAAACTGGGTTTAACATCCTTATTTCCTAGATAATGATTAAATAAGAACAGCATGAAAAAGTAGCCTGTGCTGTCTCTGGTGGACGGTCAACACCCAGATACTGATACTCCTGGCACCAAAAGCGTAACATCCAAAAAGAGTGAGACTCTGCCACTTGATACAGATGGAAGAATATAGAAGATTTAATGCTATGCAAATGAGCCAGAACCTGAAAGACACTCTTTGTTCCCACGTAATACACACCAAATGTCTGCACTTCATGGCAGAAACAGAAAGGCTGAAAGACGTAATGGCAGAGATAGCAAGTGAAGATGCCAGAGGATATATAGGAGAGGGTGGGCAGCTGAAGGTGGGAGAGACGGACTTAAGGAAAAAAAAAAAAAAAAATGAACAGATACATGAATGGAAAGTTATATCTTTGATGCACTGGACATGCAATGCATTTTTGCCTTGAGAATCTATATCTGTTAAAACATACCATAATTAAATATAAATTATAATAAAAGATAAAATAAGATAAATGACTTATTTTTTAGAATTATCATTTTAATTTCTATTTATTATTATTTTTAAAAGTTGCAATAGAGCACATGTGCTCACTGGAGAGAGAGAGAGAGAGACACACACAGAGAAGGAAAGTGAGAAAGAAAGTACCAGGTCCAGGACTTGAACTACAGTTGGCCATGTGGAAGCCCTATACCTTAACTACTATGCAACCTGCTGATCCTAAGAAATTTTAAAATTTTTGATCATTATTTGGAGTGTTGTGTCTATTCTCTATCGATCTTCTCACTCTCTGTATACTGTATACTAATGTGGACGTCTTAAAACTTGCATACCATAGATGGAAGAATACAATGCCTTGAAAACTATACTTTTCATGCTTCAAGTTCCAACATAATGACAATGATGCCAAGTCTATATATTCTAATTACTGAAAGCGTAGCCTTTGAGATATGTGATTTATATCCTCAAAAACAGCCCTTTGAACCAATGAAGAATGTTTCTAAAAAGGTGACTAAAACTTTGAATTAACTTTAATGGAAAATCATTTGATCAGAACTTAAAAGATCTCAGCTGGTCTAACTATAGCACTTTTGTACCACATTTTTCATCTTATTATTTTATTTTACCATACGGTTAGTAAGTTTAATAAACGTAATTTGAACAAGTCATGATTTTAGTGAAAATTTTCAGGAAAAGTTTTTACAATGAATTTTTTGTTTGTTTTGAGAGGTTTTGCTCAAGAGTGGCATGCACTCACCAGAAAGACAGAGACAGAAAGACAGAAAGCGAGAAATCACCTTCCGGGTGGATGACCATACCACAATCCTTTCTCCATTTTCCTATTGGGATTTTAGGCATGCAAGCACAAATGCCTGGAGTGAGTTCTAACCTCTGGGTCCAGGACTCAAAACATGGTTGACTATGTGGGAGTCCAGAAACGTAACCATTTCGCCATCTGCTGGTCACTACAATTAATTTTAAAGAGAAATCTGCATAGTAATGTTTTTGCAATGGGAAAACAAGAATGCTGTCTCCTATCTCAAAAAGTGGGGTAAAGGGGAAAAAGTGGGATAAAGGTCAGTTGTGGAGTCACTCCCTCAAGTGCATGAATTTGTCTGTCCAGGAAAGAAGGATACATTTTATTTGCTATCTTGGAATACTTTTAGATGAGATATTTAAAACGTAGGATCTGGTGTAGGGGGGCAGTAGGTGGCGTAGTGGTTGTATCACTGGACTCCCATGTGGCTGGCCACAGTTCAAATCCTGGACCTGGTGGCTTGAGGCTCATGCCAGGCATGTGTGCGTGTGTGCACAGGATCCCAGGAAGCGGATGGAGGAGGAGAGATTGTGGCATGGCCATTCCCTCTATGGGGATGATTTTTCACTTTTCCTCCTACTGGCTCTGCCTCTCTCTATATATCTCTATTTCTCTGGTGAGCACATACATCCTAAGTTGAAAACCTCAAAATAAAATAAAATAAAATAAAATAAAATAAAATAAAATAAATCTTAATAAAATAAAATAAAATAAAATAAAATAAAATAAAATAAAATAAAATAAAATAAAATGTAGGATCTGGTTTATCCTCTGCATATATTAAAAAGGTCCTGGTTCTTTTTTTCTGAAGAGCAGATTTTTATGAACATACACACACACATTTAATTTAGACATTATTTCAGGGATTGAAGTAAAAGACACTTTGAAAATAAAAGCTCAGCTTCTCCCTTTAGGGTGTTAACATTGAGGATGCATATTGCTGTTTAAGCTCACGCTTTCATTCTCATATATTCTGAAGGGTAACAAGCATTATTGGTCGCAAATGAGTAAGAAGACCTCTACTAGGTGCATTTCATGCAACTAGCCTCTCTCAAAGTCCCAATGCTTTATTTATTTGAGCCTTTCTTTGCCACAAATCATGTAAGTTCTAGAAGATATTTTTTATAATGTATCATATCTTAAATCTATCTGTATCACAGGAAAACAACTCATACATCTGAGTGGATAACACCTCAGAAACACAGGTTTGGGCATGGCCGTGTGTCCTAGTGGTGAAGGGAGCTGGATGCCACACGACAGACTGCAGTTTGAAACCCCACCCCAGTGACCTGAAAAATGCACCAGTTTGGGTCAGTCAAAGGAGTGGTAGTTAGGAAGCTAGATGCCACAATGGCTGACAGTATCAGGTTTGAGTCCCAGACCTGGCAGCTTGAGAAACGTGCCAGGTGCATGCACAGGTCTGTCCAAAATCCTGAAAGGAGGGAGAAGTGGAGAAGCGAGTGCAGCATGGTCATCCCCCATGATAGGTGTTTTCTCACTTTCTCTCTTTACCACTCTCTTCCCCTCACTGGTGAGTGCACATGCATGGTACAAATTACCAAAAAAATTTAAAAATAATAAAAGAATACATGGGGTACATATGGTGCATTCCTTAAATCCTGACTGGATGGAGAAATAAAGAAGGGATTGTGGCACAATTATGTCCCAATGGGAGGTGCTTTCTTCTTCTCCTTCTTCTTCTCCTCCTCCTCCTCCTCCTCCTTCTTCTTCCTCTCTCTCTCTCTCTCTCTCTCTCTCTCTCTGGTGAGGCCACATGCCCTCTGGCAATTACATAAATAAATAAATAAGAAGAAATAAAAGCATACTATATAAAGATCATACAGTAAGTGGAATTTCAGGTAGATGAAAATTCAGCTCTGTATTTGCAATACAAATGTGTCATTGGCTGGACTTGTCCATGCAGACAGCCATCCAAAACAGTGACACAGTACAGCAAGCTGCTTCAGCATTTACGAACCTGTCCTTTGGGTGCAGGTGATGTTCTGGGATGGTGAGCTTTGAGCTGGGTCTCACCTTGTTTCCTTCTTCCTGTCAGTCCTATGAGAAGGATGTGATGGGAAGATCTTTTCATTTGGAAATAGCCTTCCCAACATGGTCGGAATTTCCAGCACTCTTCGTCCACTTCCTTTTTCTTCTGTCTGAAAAACTCCCTTTCATGTTGCTTGCAGTGTAGATCCTTTGGTAATGAATTCTGTCAATCTGACAGGCCTTTAAGAAAGTCTTTAGTTTGCCTTCATATTTGAAGGAGATTTGTGCACCACTCTCCTCTCCTTTGCACTCTCACCAATAAATAAATAAAGTAAATGTACTACTATTCCTAACTTTGTTTCTGTATATATGGTGCCTTCTTTCTCTGCTTTTACATCAGGCTTTCTGTTCAACACTAGTGCTAGCCAAGTTGCTCACAATGCTGGATGCTGCAGTAGTATTCGTGATTCTGACTCTTGGAGTTCATGGAGCTTCTTAGACCAGAGGATTTACAGGTTATTTTTGCCAGATTTGAATATTATAAAGCCTTTATATCTTCAATATTTTTTCTTCTTCTCCACTATCTCCTCTCCTTCAATGACGGCAACTAAATGTGTAACTGGCTACCTGGAACAGTCTCACAGCTCAGGGATTTAATTTCCACTTAATTGTTTTTCCCTTTATGTTTCATTTTGGGTAGTTTTATTGGTGTAATGAAGTTAACTAATATTTCTTCCACAATGTCTACTCTACCACGAATCCCATCCAATGTATTTTTATCTCTAAAATTGATAAATCAAACCTCTTGAGAAATTTCGTTTTGGTCTTTTTTATATCTTTCATGACTCTAACTTTTGAACATATGAAAAAGACTTATAAACAACTATTTAAATTACCGTATTTGCTAATCTAGTGTCTGTCCAGTCTCAGTTGATTGAGTTTCCTCCTGAATAAAGGTCATATTTCATGTTCTTCTGGACCTGGGACAATCTTCGAAAACAAAACATGTTGAATTTGATCTTGTCAGGTTTTGTATTCCCACAAATACCTTCAACTCTGTTTTGGGGCACACTTAGGTTATCTGGAAGCAATCTGCTACTTTTGAGCCTTGTTTTGATTTATTGGAGTTTTGGTTTGGTTTTTGATTTGGTTTGATTTTTGACTTGTTTCATTTGCTGAGTTAAGATTCATTAGGGGACAGAAAAGCATTTAGTCCTGGGCTAATTATCCTGTACTACCAAGGCAAGACCCTCCCAAAGGCCCTACTCAGTGTCCTATGGCTTATGGGGTCTCTCGGAAGGCCTGGGAGTGCTGGCTGAAATTCCTCACCCCGTGTAAGAAGAAAGTGCTGTGTAGTTCATCCTTTCAGATGCTCCTTTCACTGGTCTCTGGTACTTTTCTTACATGAATGAGCAGCTCAGTCCTCAGCTCAGTATCAGAAGGGGACCCTCTGCAGATACCT